TTCAATTTTTTTTTTTTTTTTTTTAATTCTGACGCGAAAGTATTAAACGACATGAAATATAACGTGATATAGTGTAGAGTATAATAAGTACAAATACTTTTTTCAAGTTGAAAAATCTTTTTTACATAATGTGCATTTAAATTTTTATATTTATTATATACATTTTTTTAGAGTTTATATTGCGCTTTGATAAATGAATTTAATTCGTTTGCACATTCTTGAAAAGAGTTCTTGTAAAATTTTGACAGTTGAAAATTTGCCATTATCTTTCAAAAATTATGCAAACATAAATCTTATAGCCACTTATCCAAATCTCTCGATTCTCAAGAATCTTCGAATCTCAATTTGAATTATGATTCACTCCTCCACCATACCTTCCACCATAATCATCATCAATATCATTTCCTTTCCCTCGTTTAAACTCGAAAGAGAGATTTTTCCAAGGAAAATTACCTCGTTTACGGCATTTAAACCAACGTGTTCACGATGACTAATGCGAATTTAAAACTGTCGTTCGTTTCCAGAATCAAAGGAAACTGTCTCTAATCCCAGAAAGAAAAGGCCACTTTCGGCGGAGAGGGGGAGGAGGAGGAGGAGGAAGCAAAAGCCGATGGATCGACCCAGAATTCGTCCCAGAGATCGCGCGCAATTTCTCAACTCGTCGTAGCTTTCCACGAACCGTCCGATCCATCCTGTAAAAACTCGTGACACGTGTAGGATAGCTTAACGACTGTCCGCAAGAAAACCGCCGCTACGCAATTACGACGGCGCAAAAATGGCCGAGGTAATCCTTTTCCCGGATCCGTAGAGACCTTTAAACTATATATCGCGGAAATCGCTTCGTTCTGATTTGTCCACTGAGCAAAAAGATCACGTGATTACGCGTGTTCTTCGCGCGATGAAGCATGAACAATCGAGCGAGGAACGTTGATGACACGTTGGTGAGAATCGTCGTCAATCGAGTTTCAGTTTTCGAAAACAGTTTCCAAGTTTTTTTCGCGCGATCGAAAAACAGGAAAACAATTACTCTCCATCGACAATTAATCTCTTAATAAATCGATAATTAATTTAATTTTTATATACCGGAATAACGTACCTTCTGTACAGCTTGTCCCTGAGGATCCTGCGGCCCAAGGTAGCGAAAGGGCGCAGGGGGAAGATCTGTTGCCTGTTCCTCGTCATATTCGCCGATCGTACGATCCAACGATTATTCTTCCTTCCCCGATTCCTTCCCAATTATCCATCCATCACGACAATCTATTATCAAATTACTCTCAATCCGTACGAAATATCCATTCATTTGCTCCACCGCAAATGGATTAATTAATTGATCGATTGATTAATTATCAGACGCCTTTTTCTTCCAACCTTTCTTTCAATCCTGGTTGGCGGCTAGCAACGGATCGTAAATCTCGCGCGCCGATCGATTAATCGTGGCACGACGCGTGGCCCCCTTCGATCTATCGATTTATACCGTGTCATTAAAACGTTTAAATTAGGTTTTTCCCATTCGATATATATATATTTTGCTCATGGGAGTCGCTGCGCTCTTCCCTCTTCCTCCTTTCTCCGTTTCTTGTTCCTCGGCCGGGCGCAAGCCTCGTGCCACCTCTCGGTCACGCTTCCACCGTTCTTTTCCTCCAGCGAACTGGTTCGTCCGGAATGGGTATTTTTAGTTGGCAGCCACGCCGAGCCTGTTTATGGGGTCAACACCACGTGAAATACGCGCCTCCGTGCCGACTCAGTGGGATCTCGTCAGGCTAAATACTTGCACGCGAATCTTTGTTCCTTCGATTATCTCGTTATCTTGGATCTTCTGCGAGATTTTAATTCGTCTGACGATTGTTCTTGCATCCACGATAGGTTCTTTCTTTTTCTTCTTCTTCTTTTTTTTTTTTTCTCCTAATAATTTTAGGAGATCGCTTATGTTTGTTGTGTCGTGTAGGAACGTGTTGTCAGTTTCTAGAAAAAGTTTCGCTTTTTGATTTCGTCAATCTTCTTAACAGCTGTACAGGTACACTTTTTTTTTTTGGACACACTTTGTTTTAAGACAGATTCTAATAAGATGATCCTGTGCGAGGCCAAAATGTTTTTTTTTTCCTCTCAAAAATTTCACTTTCCAACACTTTGTCAATCAATTGTTTAAACTTTTTCTTCCAAGTCTAGAACATTTCGCTTTTATACACCGAGTTGTATAACAATTTCTCGCAAACAGCTTTTCGCAACAAACTGTTGAATGCGCGAAGAAAGAATCGTTTCTTTTTTTTTATGAATGTTCTGTCTTCAACTAGAATGAAAAAAACCTGGTCGAAAATTGGAATTATCCTTTGTACAGAGGGAAACTCGACGAAAGGGGAGGGAAGTTTTTGCGGCAGAGATCAGAACGTTTGTTGTCAGAACGAGATGCCATGCTAATGCTGGTTTTCAAAGGTTACAAGGATTAATTGACCGCGCGAATGAAATTTCAAGTGGCTGCAAGGAAACTGCACGTTGCACAGGTAAAAAAGAGATTGAAAAAGTGCGTGGACGGTTTTCAAGAAACGGTCTTCGACGGCTATTTTTCGATATACTGGTTTTCAGTGAATTTTTGAGAATAGGAACGATGGAGATTTAATATTTTTAATTAAACGTTGATATTTTGTCGCGCAAGAGTTATCGAAAAATTAATATTTTACATGTAACATACACATCATCAAGAGACGAAAGAATTTTCGTCTGTCGAATTCTGATGAAAAATAACTTGGAAAGAAGATGGAAAGAATTTAACAAGAATTTAATATTGAAAAAAAAAGTAACTGCGAGTTTAATGTAAATCAACATCAAATTTAATTTAATTTATATGGGCAATATATCGAAATTTAAAATTCTCCTCACAGTTAAACAAATAGATCTCGCAATGAAATTACCGTTCAACGATGCTATTCTACAGATTAGAAAGTCCACCATTCAAAGAATTATTAACTGTGACGAATCTATACATATGCCTAATGAAATTTTTACCAACAAGACCGTGCCATTAAACCGAACGCGTTTTAGACACGTGGAAGAATTTTAAACCAGACGCCTCGTTGGTTGGTTTTATTATCGAACGAGATGTCGACTGTCGTCGTGTTTAGAACAAGAAAGACAAGTTCTCTCCTCGTTCCGTGTATCCGAGAATCTCTGTGAAACGCGACATCTTCGTCGAAACGGGGCCAGGAAAAGGGGAGGAAAATGAAAAAAGGGAAAAAGGGGGAAAAAAAAAAATCTTATTCAACGTGTCGGAACGAGGAGGAATTGCGCAAACAGAATGCAAAAGCGGGAAAATCCGAATTGCAAAACAGCCGAAGGCGATACTTGTGGCGCCAGAAAACGAAAAACTAGCAACGTTCTTCCCTGTCGAACAAATTGGAAAATCAAATGCCGGCATCCCGATAAATTCGACTGAATTTCATCCCGTTTCCCTGCTGTTCGCGCGAATTAGTCGAGGCTGTTCAAAGAATCGCTTCTAAGCATGAATAATTAATGAATCGATCGTTTTTTTTACCTGTCGCAGATTTCACTTGAAAATTCCATATTTCATTCAACTGATTTTCTGAATATATACATATCCATTCTGGATATGCTGTTTTTTTTATACTGAAAAAAAATTAGAAGAGAAAGAGAAGATAGAATTTTTCCATATCAAATCAAATCGCGAATGAATCGAATACAAATTATTTCTCACTTTCGATTTTCGCCACTTCCAGTTGCCAAGGTTTGCGCCAGTGAAATCGATTACCAAATTTTTAAAGTCGAGGACAGACGTTGATTAATAAGATTTCTCCCCTTAATCGTCGAGTTTTCTCTCCGATAAATAACTAACGATCAGTTGAAATCAGTTTTTAATTCTTTGCAAGCACAACGAGAACTCGAGATTCCATTCTAAATTTTTCTCACACTATCGATCCTCATCATCCTCATCATTTGATCACATAAAACACTCAACGAAGAACGAAGCCAAAAAACTTCAGAACAAATTCTGGCAACAAAATTCTAAACTTGGAACATACAAATAACGATGATAATCACATCTAAACTTTTAATTTCACGTTAAATAATTGGTGATGCTTTTTTTCTCAATAAAAATACTCAAGAAGAAAGAACCTTTGAACCTAGCCTCTAACTGTAAAGAAGAAAAAGACCGAGAGTTCAGCATCCAACAAGGCGTTCTCGATACCGTTTTCACTTATCGTTCACGTGGCTTGGATTTCCTTGGATTTCACGTTCATTTTCGCGTACCACTGTTCCGCCACTCGGTCAAGGAAATACACACGCGTCGATCGTTTCGAAGCCGGTTGAATCGTTCAAGGACCCATACGGCGCGTCGGTCGTTCCTCGAATGACAGATATGCCTGGCTTTCCGCTCTTTCTCCCTACTCTACGTGGCGAGAGGGCCACGAGGCGAGGAGACGAGCACGGAGCCTTACGTGGCCCTCGTTCCTTCTCTCCTTCTCGAACGGCTTTCCTATGCGTCACCGGAAAGTGGTGCCACAACACCGCGATCTCCACCCACGTTTTAACCGGTTCACCGGGGAACGCCTCGCGACCTCACTTTGACTATCAACGGACGAAAATAGTACAACAATAATAGCTGATAGCGATGGAAATTGACCAGGTTTGTTTGTTTGCTGGACTCGGGCGTGCTAAAAATAATGGTAAGCTAATGGCAAGTAGAACACTTTTCCGTAGAATACGAAGAAAAATTGTTATTCGCGTCATTCGACACGTGATTTGAATTGGATAAACGTTACTGACTGGGTCTCATTGGTCAATATATAATATCGATATTCTTTATTAAGATTGTATAAGTTAATGATAAAGGGGCAATATTTATTGTAAAATTTTGGAATTAAATGCAAACGATATCATTAATAGTATAAAAAGAAAAGAGAGTCATTGCAGAATCTTTTTATACAATCTTAAAATTGAAAGATACTTTGTTGCCATATGATTGTTAAATCATGCAACTGTTTAAATACTTTTGAGCAAAATTAACAATTTATATATTTTCCAAATTGATCGAAATTATATTTAATTTAAAGGAAGAGAACGAAGAGTTTTTCATTCTTTCGAATTATTAATATATCGGAAAATATTTTTGTTCGCACGAGGTTGCGAATCGCAACCAGTTGAAACTCGCAATTTTCCCCGTATTAACGACCGCGACGAAGGTTATCAACGAGGCGTACGCGTAACTGGTTAAACGTAGGCAAACGAGAGATCAATGCGAACGCGTTGAAACTCTGGTTGCAAATTTATGGGATTAGTTTCTCGTTGATTACGCAGCTTTCCAACGTGTTACAAGGTAAATCAAAGTAAGCGCTCTCGTTAAGGTCAACAGTGGAGTGGAGGAAAGGCTTAATTTCAATGGCCCGCTACGAGCCGAAATCCCTCTCGCCATAAGATTATTAAACGATGCATCTTGCCAACGATGGAGAATTAGAATATGTGCAAACAGGGTGTAAGTTGGATCACGAGAGCCGCGTGATTTAAGACCTCTTTTACCCCCCTTTATCTACGAGGCTGTCTTGCATATAAATTGCAAATTGCATATAATTTGAATAATTCTTCGTGTTATTAATACGTTGGTTGCCAACGTGATGAACATCTTCTTTAAATATTAAAATTGAAGTAGTAAGTTGTATACTCTCGAGGAATCGAAAGAGAGAGAGAGAGAGATTTTTCTTTTTTTTTTTTTTAATGAATATCTTAATTGAAATTATTAATACGTTAAAGATAGATATTTCAACGTATATTCTCATAATTTCTTCTTTAATCTTTCCTTACAAGTATATTTTCTATAGAAATTTAACTCGATAAAAGTTTACGAATAATAATAATAATATATGAATTCAAATTATTTGCAAGCTTCTCGATAATTTCTATTTGAATTATCCATAATTAAGAGAAATGGAAGGAACAGATATAT